ATCTTGTTTTTACATTAGGAAATTTTTAAGGAAACTTTCCATTGTTGGTACCACGAGTCCATCTCTATCAATAATTGTAACAGTGGGGAGACCAACTGTAGACAGGTGTCTAGACATTATGCCAGTAATTTAAAATATCTCAGAAGAGATATGGTGCTTAAGAATGCCAGTAGATTCTCCTCATTAACACTCCCATATCAGTGAGGTAGAACCAGTTTTAGCAACAATGGACTAATGTTGTGTAGACAAGCCCCCTACGTGGCGGTGCTCATTTACTTTCAGTTGCTTCCATTGTTGTAACCAACCTCTCTGCACTTTTTTTGTTTGAATCTTGTGTTAGAATTGTTTTTATCATACCTACGTGCAAGAGTGGGAAGTCATGCTGCAGAAGGGGGAATGGGAGTAGGCGCAAGGCTCCAAGTGATCACAAATCTGGACCTCAAATCAACTATTATGAAGTATAGTCTAAGAATGTTTGTATGCTATCCACCTGCTCTGCATGATTTTTAACAGCTTACTGTGTGCCAGGGTAATTTTATAATGTAAAATAAGCACAGATCTAGTTGTATAAGGGTTTGAACTATCTTTTGTGGGTAGCATCCCTTAGTAGTACTTGTATACAGTTTTAACTCTCTCTAGTTTCTTGATAGGAAACACAGTTAATTACAACTAAAGAAAAGTGGTTATACCACTCTTTCTGAAATGTTGTTTTCACTCTAAAGTTAGATGCTGATGGATGTAGGAAAATTTATTCTTTTCTAACCATGCTACTATTTCTGTGTTCTCAGAACTCCTGAGATAATGAGCAATGATCTTTTGCTTTGATACTTATGCAGTAGGAATTTTTTTTCCAGATTTTTCAAACAGTGTTGTTCACTGGAGAGAATGGGGCACTGTGAACCACAACTCCTGCATTTATTCCTAGCTGCAATGATTAGTCGTTATGACCCTGTACATGTGCCACTTAATCTCTCTCTGCCTCCTTTTATCTATGGGTATTACATAATTTACCCATGGGTTTTGTAAAGCTTAATAAATGTTCGTAAAGATCTTAGCAATGCTTGGATGAAAGATGCTATAAAAATGTCAAGATGTATTATTTTCCTGTTGATAATAAGCAAAGGGTTGAACTTTATTGGTGGTGCAGTAAATTTAGACTAACATGTATTACTTATGGTGTATTTATTCAGTAATCTGAAGATTTGTTTCCAGGGATGTCTATCCAGCATCTTTCACCAGTTCACTAAATTCACTTAAACTGCAGAAGTTAAATTAAAAGAGAAAACAATTTTTTTATAATCACATGTTATTTAGTTAGTGCTGCAGACTAGGGATATAAGCAGTTAACCGGTTACCCACCAAACAGGTGGCTCACTGGCCTGCTTACCAGGCAAATGGTTAACTGGCTTGGCTGGCTGGACAGTGCTAGTAGTGGGATTGGGGTAGTCCCTGCTACCTGAGGCCACAGCAGGGCCAGAGGCAGGGTTGGGGCCAGAGCAAATACCACTGCCCTAGGCCACGGCCGGACTGGGTGAGCAGCTGGACCTGTCCCTGTTGCCTGAGGCTTCGGCAGGACCAGGGGCAGGGCTGGGGCCAGAGCCACACTGGGCCATGGTGCATTGCATAGCAGGTGTGGGAGAGGCCACTCCAGCGTTGACTGGTCAAACCTAGCATTTAACCAGTTAACATTTTAAATGTTAATTAACATCCCTGCTGCAGACCCTAACTTTTAGCACCTGGATTTTTATACCCTGGGGCCAAGAATTTAAAATAGAGAAAAATGTATTTTAAATTAGACTCTTAAATCCATGCTGAGGCATCTAAAGAAGTGGTTTGGCTTTCGAATATACATGGGAACTGCTGGGTACTCAACGCTTCTGAAAATCAAGCAATTATTTTGCACAAATCTGAGAACCTTATTCCTAACTAATTTAACTAATTTTTTAAAACTAGTGAGTTGTAACAAGTTTAAAATGCTTGCCATACGCTATCAGACACAATTATTACTGTAATTAGCTTTTGTTTACAGACGTTATACATGACTGTAGTTATCAGATGCTTATTTAACAAGTGTTACCATACTACAGAGGGAACATAAGAATGGCCATACTGGGTCAGACCAAAGGTCCATCTATCTCCGTTTCCTGTCTGTCGACAATAGCCAATACCAGATGCCCCAGAAAGAGGGAACACAATAGGAAATCATCAAGTGATCCCTCTCCTGTCATCCATTTCCAGACAAACAGAGGCTAGGGGACACCATTCCTACCCATCCTGGCTCATAACCATTGATTAACCTAACCTCTATGAATCTATCTAGCTCTTTTTGGAACCCTGTTGAAGTCCTAGTCTTCACCACATCCTCTGGCAAGGAGTTCCACAGGTTGACCATGCACTGAGTGAAGAAAAACTTCCTTTTCTTTGTTTTAAACCTGCTACCTATTAATTTCATTTGGTGACCCCCTAGTTCTTCTATTGTGGGAATAAGTAAATAACTTTTCCTTATTCACTTTTTCCACACCAGTCATGATTTTATAGACTTCTATCATATCCCCCCTTAGTCTCCTCTTTTCTAAGCAGAAAAGTCTCCATCTTTTTCATCTCTTTATATGGGACCCGTTCCAAACCCCTAATAATTTTTGTTGCCCTTTTCTGAACCTTTTCCAATACCAATATATCTTTTTTTGAGATAAGGCAACCACATCTGTACGCAGTATTCAAGATGTGGGCGTACGTACTATGGTTTTATATAGAGGCAATAAAATATTCTCTGTCTTGTTCTCAATCTTTTTAATGATTCCTAACATTCTATTTGCTTTTTTGACTGCTGCTGTACACTGCGTGGATGTTTTCAGAGAACCATCCACAATGACCCCAAGATCTCTCTCTCCCGAGTAGTTGTAGCTAAATTAGTCCCAATTGTGGCCTGGGAAGGAGCTTTAATGACCTTTAGGTGGGTAGGGCTTGCCAATCTGACCAGAAGTTCTAAGTTTGTCCTCGCTGTCACATGTTACAATGGGGTGGAACCTTCTGATTCCCCCTCGTGAGAGTATGCCAGACCATTGACAAGAATTACACCTCAAATTGGGAAATGAAATGGACAACCATTTTATTGCCAAAGGGAACACAATAATAACAACCACAATGAATATGGCAGTCAGGACACAGATTAAGTGGATACTTCCCCAGATGGCACTAATAAAATCAAACTAAAACTTATCTACGTATATAGAAATTAATCATTTAGCAATATCTCAGACTCACAGGATCTTAATGCTCCCAAGGCTGGGCCTGGAGGACCAGCCTCCCTTCGCCTGAAAGGCTTTGGAGCAGGTGCTGTGTGAGAGTTCTAAAAGCAAACAAACAAAATCGAAGAAGAAAGGAAGAGATACAAAGATAGATTAAAGATAAGTTTATGGTTTCTGACCTTACAAGGTGAGCACTCCAGAATGAGCCCTGTCAGCGAAGGCTGAAGCAGCAGTCCCGATCTCCCAAATTCCTAGGCCTAAATACTCTTTTTGGCGCCAAAACGTTCCGGATGTTCAACCCCTTGCCCATAGTTGGGTTTGGTACTCTAAGATTTCTGTGGGGTGCTATCTCTAATTGGAGAAAATACTAGGGAACTTATAAATATGTAGCAGAAATGACTGACACTTTCTTGGGCTCCATCCCAGAATTGCTTAAGAAAATGCGGGAACTTGCGGTTTTGACTCAGAAATCTGTTGTCTGTTTTGTAGGAAGTATGGAGTAGCAGATTTGTTGCTGATCCTGAGCAGAATTGAAAAAAAATTAACTTAGCACATCAACCACAAAACTCTTGCCTCATACATCTTTTGGAAAATAACAAAAGGAACATAAATCTTACCCATTACCAACTACCAAACTTTTGCTAAAAGTAATCACACAGAAAATTAATTCTGCAGGCACCTAGCTTAACTAGCCTATTTAAATCTGTATCTATATTTAAACTCCTCTCCCCCCCCAAAATAAAACAGAACAGAGGCCATTTAGCAGGCTACCTGATTACATTGTATGTATAGTTGGGATTATGTTTTCTAATGTGCATTACTTTACATTTATCAACATGAAATTTCTTTTGCCATTTTGTTGCCCAATCACTTAGTTTGGTGAGATCTTTTTGAAGCTCTTCAGAGTCTGCTTTGGTCTTAACTGTCTTGAGCAGTTTAGTATCATCTGCATAGTTTGCCATCTAGCTGTTTACCCCTTTAGATCATTTATAAATAAATTGAATAGGATTGATCCCAGGACGAACCCTTGGGGAACCCTGCCACTTACGTAAATGCTCTTCACTCTGAAAACTTACCATTTATTCCTTCCCTTTGTTTCTTGTGTTTTAACCAGTTATTAATCTATGAAAGGACCTTCCCTTTTATCCCATGACAACTTACTTTACTTATAAGCCTTTGGTCATGGACCTTGTAACTGTGAGCATCATTATGCTGCCTATAATTAGGGACCCACCAATCTCACAGTCCATTTTGGTCATAGGATTTTAAAAATAATACCTTCCATGAGTTCAGCTATTTAAATCTGAAATGTCATGGCTTTATAATTATAGGGGCTCTGACTCATGAAGGAGTGGGGGAGCACAGGGATATTGAGGGTGGGGAGTTCCATACTATTATCCTTATTTCTACAGCCTGATTTTGTTTCCACGTCTTTAAGTAAATACATTCGCTCCTTACTCCAGCTAAACCTGGTTTAAGCTTTGACATTATAGTAGCCTAATTGTATCTGATGCCCTGTAGCTTCTCAAGTCCCCAAGGAACATTTAGGCTATGTCGTGTGAGAAATATGCAAATGAGGCTGTGTGGAATGTTGCTGGGCCTCATTTGCATACCTAATAAGCCGCTATTTTTGCAGAAGAGGCTCTTGTGCCAGAAGGAGCTGTCTACACTGCCCTTTCTTGCTCAAGGAAAACCTTCTTGCACAATGCCCTTAGGCCGATTATTTTCAGGAATA